GACTGTTTTGTTTGTCAGATCTATATTTAGTACTATTATTTAATTAAAAAATGTTAAATATATCAAGCGATTGCCTAACAGTCTAGGATTTTGACAAATGTAATGCTTTGCGTGAAGTAAGTTTCTGCTTTAATATCACTTACTGCATAATTAGTTATATCATCTTGATAGTCATTATGACACATAAATCAAACTGAATCATATAAATCAAGTTCAAAAAAAAAAAAAAAAAAAAAGAAAGAAGAATAAAGAAATCGACTATGATTACTGGGACACATTTGAAACGTCCTCGCGCTTATCTTCCCGTAAATTTGTCGTCTTGCTCGTCGAAAATGTCTTTCGCGACTTTCGACTCCCCGTCGCTTTGATCTTTGTCCGCAATCGGAGTAATATAAATGTAAATTGGCGCGACTGAATTGCATATCGGCTAATACGTAATGGCCGCCAGTTTCCGCGCGGCGGTTTTTCACGGTGCGACAAAAAAGGAGGGGAGGGGGGGGGGAGGAAAAACGACGAGGAAAAAACTGTGCACTCGACAATGTTCCGCAGGTGCGCCGTGAACCTAGTTATTTCCGGCTCGTCGCTAGCCGGAGCTCCGGCGTATCGATTATCATATTAATTTATTACGGAATGCCGTGTTCGCGGCAAGTAACACAGGCTCGCTCTCTGGACCGCGTGGGCGCTGACGCGGGCGCTCCTGAATCATCTACGCTCGGCAAGATCGAACGATCGAGTAAGCGATTAATCGAACCGATCTTGATCGCGCTCCTTACGCGCGTGGGTCGTCTCTGACACTATCGCGCGTATCGCTCGCTCCGTGACGAGCGAATTTAAAGTACGCTAAAGTAAGAGAGACGCGGTGCCCGGAGCCTCGAAACGATCGATCGGACGAGCGATCGGACCGATCGTATTAAATCCGAGCGATGAGATACAAATTTGCGTGGCCCGTGGCGCGCGTCCCATTCTTTTTCTGCATAAAAAATTTACAAACATTTTATGGCGATCCGGGCGCGAGATGTGGCGTCCCATATTAGCGGGGGGAAAAAAAAAAACAAGATACGCACATATGCACAGTTTGGGAAAGCAAAAATGCGTTATCTGCAGTCGTGTTGATCTCGTTTGCGCGATATAACAGTGACCGTATCCATGGATTTTTCATGAATATTCATGACGCGCCGGCATTATACCGTGCAAAATCCTCCGGTTATTATCTAGGAATCGGCCGATCGGATAATATCGCGAGGAGCAACGCGATATCTGAAATTTAACGGCTAACTTATGCGGCTAACAGCGAAGCAAAGCAGAAAATGTATTTTCTAAGTGGCTCTACCTGGTCCCCGGTCGCAGAAGCGATTCTCATTCCCCTCCGTCCCTCTGTTGACTTAATCGTAAGTTGAAATGTGATATGTGAGAACAAAACGATAGCAGAGAAAATCGATATCATTAGCATAATGTCATCGTTAATATAACTGCAAATTATATTCATTGTACGTGGGCATCGTGGGCTTTTTTCAAGTCTGTTATTTTTTTTAGTCTGATCGACGGGCAGTCTTGTCTTAACAGCACAAAGACGGATTCGCGATTGAGAAAGAGAGCGATGTCATATCGAGGCCCATTCTCGACCAAGCACCTTGGGAACGGGCGTTCGAGAACGTCTACATAGCACAGTAACAAAATTTTAATCCGTCCGCGTTCTCCTTTTTTACTTCTGTTTCGGCAAAATGACGTTATATTATTGCGACGTGCTACCAAGTTTTCGTCGAACAGCGCGATCATCGCTAGACCGATTTATGGAGCGCGATTATTGCGCGTGTGAAAACTGTCGGCCAGGTTCATAAAAGCGGGGTCACAAGAGTGAATGGAAACGTTATTCTGGGCGATCCGTCGATATGATTCTCGCGAAGCGAGAAAATCATATTCGTTGAAAGTACGTACTGCCACTTTATAGCGAGCGTGATTTATGATATGCATTGTTCGAATCTCGGAATGATCTCTTGATATGGCTGCGCTCCTTTTTCGCGTCTGTATCTTTGAAAGATTTGAGGGATACCCAACGCCATTGCTCTCGACGACTTTATTGGATAATCAGTCGTGGGACTGACGTTTCATCAGCAGTTACGACACGATTGTTTCCATCGTTCGTGAATATCAGAGCTTGTGACCGGAACGGATTTTTCGTTAAAATATTCGCTAGAACGTCAGGAAGGCGCGAGGTGGAGGGACGCCCAAAGCTGACCGTCGGCCATATTGTTCGGACGCGTTTCTCATTCCATGACCGATTGGCGACCGTGATAAAATTGTAGGGCCGACAGAAATATCGTCGAGATAATTGCGCGAGAGTTATGTCAGCGCGTCGGAGCGAGACAAAGACGCGAACGGAAAGGAATAAAACGGAAGAGTCGCCTAGGGACAGTAAGGCTGGCAAAAAGTCACGTGAAATCCTGTAAAAACAAAGTCGTGACGAGGGGAACGAGTCCGAGAGTCGAGGAGGAGGGTCAGAAAGAGCGATAAATATCGCTCAGCGTGGAAGTTTTTATTGCGTCGGGAGTGCGAAGTTCTTCTCTATCTGCGCATTTCTCGTCGCTACACCATCTCGTCTTTATTTTCGATGAGAGTAATTCTTATGTGAAACGGACTTTTTAACGTCATTGTTTCGTCACTGATATTTCGTCCAATATTGTTAGAACTTGTGATAATATATGTGTGTGTGTGTCTCAAATAGTCGGAGGAAATAGAATCGTGTTAGCGTGTTGCTGCTCTCGTTGTAAAAAGTAACGTACGGATACATTGTGTAACGTTAGCGGGATGAATATCAAGGTGTAATGAAATAGTCGAGGAGATTCGAAAGCGTACTACACGTAGAGCCTGTTTACTTTTCATCGCGGCTGCGCCGTGATGCAGCGGATCCAATTACAGACAGGCCATCGTTGGCTCCGATTAATTACAGAGGCAGGCGCAGCTGCTCATCTCGCCGCTCGCTCGTATTCGTAATATTGTGTTTCGCGCTTCTCTAAATTTAGATAGTGTCTTTTCGCAGACGTCGCCATTTGCAACGCGCGATACGTCGACCGTTTTGCTCATGTCTCGTCAGATTTCTATAGAATATATCTATCGCATCTCTACAGAAGTACATCTAATTTACAAATTTTATTGAGATTTACGTACTTTTGTATTTTACATTATTCGCGTTCCGTGTACACTTGCGGAAAAATGCGAGGTTCAAGGTGTCTTTTCCGGTGACGTTTGCGGGAAGCACGAGATTGTCGTAAGGCGAGCGTGAGTTCGGGGCTCAAAATTAATGTCCGTCGTCCGAGGGACGGTCAGAAGGGTCGGTATGGGAGACAAGACGAAGCGCAGTTTTGGCAAAACATCATCTTGTTATCAGCGTATGCCCGTGAGGGTGGTAGTGCGACCGTTGTTAGTAAGAACCACTCGATATATCGATCGGCCAAGTAAGCAGGTTTGCATGCGTCGCATGCACGTTCTGGTATTCGCTGGCAACAATGTGCATCCGCAAATTTGCACGGATATTAAGAACGCTGCACTTTCCTGGCTGACGGCGAAAGATGGGGATCGGTTAATTAGTCGTCGTCGTCGTCGTCGTCGTCGTCGTCGTCGTCGTCGTTGTCGTTGTCGTTGTCGTCGTTATCGTAAGATAATAACCGAGGCTAATTAATTTGATGCGTTATGAGCTCTCTGTTCCGTCATTAATGACAGAGATGACCGTATCGTCGCAGGATGGCCGTAATTGCCCATTCATTTTTGTCCCACAAATATAACTCTAATTTTAGATATCGTAACCACGCCAGCTTTTTTGGCTGTTAATTACCTTCTCATTAAAGGGATACAGCTGTTTTTACAGCATTATACTTATGCTGGTGTATGAGAATTTTACAATCATTAGCGATATCTTGATTGTAAATGGAAAAATTAATTTTAATATATATTAAAATATAAAATATATATTTCCGATGCGTTTCTCAATTATTTATGTAGAAATATACGCGAGTCCACCTAAAGTCAAATCAACGGTTATCGGAAATAAAAAAGTTACCAAGGCGGTAACACAAATCATTACGTTCGCGCGACTTCTGCGACACGCGGTTTGATTCGAACTCGGAAAGCAATTAACGTCAGGCGAAACGGCACCATTTTTCGATCTGACATTTGCACAGTGCGTTTTCTTCTTGTCGATAAACGTGATAAAACGGACGAGTGCGCGTCGCGTAGAGCGCAATAGAAACGCATATAACGAGATGGTTCTCTCATCCGCGCAGCATCGCAGTACCGGATACGTTCATGACGCGGTCCGACAAAATAAAAATTGTTAATGAAAAATTAATTACGCGTAGGATAACCCACGAGCGGAATCGTGGTAGCTTCAAATTCAATCGGAGACGTATTGACGGTTACGATATATATCCATTCGTTTATAAGAAGAAGAAGGGCTATAATACTCCGCACTGAGCGAGTAGGCCTCGTACTTAATTAAGACGTCTACTGCAATTAGGTAGCCTTTATGATGGGCATAAAATCTGATCATTCCGAACACGCACGAATCAGGTTCCTCCTCCTCGCGACGGTCTTTGCTACGACAACATCTATACTCCACGTGACTAGCTACCATTTTCAGATAAAGCGATTCCCGAGCGGTGCGCGATCGACTCTCGTATACGAGCAAATTGCGAGACACTCGCTCGAACTCTTCATCGTCCGCGCAATCGTACGAGATCCTTAAAAACATTTATGGCGGTGACAATGACTCGTTTTGATAGTTGAAGAGATCGATGTATTTTAAAAACAAAAAAAGATCCGTTCGCATTGTGAAATATACTACTCGTTTTCACAATGATGGTACGAACTTCGTGATGATAAGATTTTGTTTGTTTAATTAGATATTAAGCATAATGTAATATAAAAACGACTTTATATGATGATTTGCATTCGCGCGTGCATTACGATATCTCGTTTAACGTTCCGCATTTCCGTTTGCCTTTCAGCAAGGATGTCGAGCAGCGGCGTGTCGAGCGGTCCGGTGAGCCAAGTCTGCCGGCCGCATTTCCACAGCTCGGTTCTCCATCCATGGTTGTCCGGCAGCAGCGCGGACACTTCGAAGACACCCTGGGGATTCCCCACGACGACGGCGACCACGGGCGGCGCTGTGAGCGACGAGAAGCCACAGAGTCCCCTGGGATCCTCGCTGCCGCCCACCACTGGAAGTTTATCGAGTCACGGTGGCGGTGGTGCCGGTCACCATCTCTTCTCCTTTCCACCAACACCACCCAAGGACGCCACGCCCGACAGCATTACCGCCAGCACGACCTCCAGCACGAACAACAATTCCACAAGCGCC